AACCTCTAAAATAATTGCCTTTTTAATGATATTTATCATGATTTATTTTGTAACAGTTTTACTATAGCATTATTTTATGTCTAACAATCATCTATTCTATTCAGATCTAAATGCAAAGAAAAAATATAGAAAAAATAGGCTACTGTTGTTTATATTTTGTATAAAATGACTTCTTTAAAAAAAAATTTTAATTTTAATAATTTATTTTGATTTCTTTATTTACAATATAAAAAGTATGAGTTAACTGAAGAAATTTATATTTGATTTATTGATCTATAGTTTATTAAACAGCTAATACTGTTGCCTTTATTGCAATCAAGTTCAATGGGTTAACATTTTTGCTGATAGAATTTATTTAACCTTTAAGTGGGAATATTTTTCAAATAAAAAATGAATTTCGATCAAGTCCTTAAGAGGTATGATAAGAGAGATGTTTCTTACTGGATTCTTAACTTTTAATATTTTTTGAATTATCTTGCACCACTAATGAGTTAATTAATTGCACCACTAACTTTTTTGTTTGAAAAGTGAAATTTTATAAAAAAAATAACCCACACTAGTGTTTTCTTAAGAAACATATCAGCCTTTGGTCTGAAACTTTAATAAAAAAATAACCCACAATAGTGTTTTCTTAAGAAACACATTAGTCCTAAAAGTTTCAGCCTTTGGTCTGAAACTTTTAGGACTTTTTTATTTATTATATGAGTTAGAAAAATCATGTTTTTGTAGAAAACTATAAGATCATAAGTTTGTTCAACAGAACTATGAAAGTTGTTTTGTTGTGATTCACAGGCTCAGTTCATGTTTCAGACCTTTTGGACCCCTTTTTTGACTCTACTACAGAAAGTATAAATTAAAATTATTTATGAAATTTAATGACATTCCTATATAAAAAAAGTTTAAATATAAAGATTTTCCAAACTGAGTTCAAAAAAACAAAATAAAAACAAATAGAATTAGTACTTTAGATTTAATTTCACTTAATTTAGTTTAAAGTTATTGTTTATAATATATTTTTATGTTGAACATTATTTTACATTTAGTTTTTTTGATTTATAGGCTTATAGTCCCTGTAATTTTTCATCTCGTTTAGGGATGTACCGGAATGGAAACTTTGAATTCCAGCCGGAACCGGATTCACTAAAATTTTTAATAAAATTAAATATTTTTTTCAAATTACAATTATAACACAAACCATACAAAAGTATATTATGTGTCATTCAATGTGAAATTTTTTGGACAACAATTTCATATTTTTTTAAAATTCTATACCTTCTATATTATAAAATTATATATATTGATTTTTAAGTATTTAAAATATTTTTTTATTCATATGGCTTTAAAAATAAATTTTTAGAGAAGACAAATAATAATACAATTTATTTTTTAAGCATATTAACTTGAGTTATGTTACATTTATGATATTTCATATGTGTTAGTCTTTTTATTACACTTATAAAATTTTTGAGGCTTTAGTTTGGCCCCATTTTTTTTTTTATTGTTTTAAATAAATTTTTGTTTAAATAAATTTCTAAATTAGTTTACTTGAGTAGAGTTTATTAAAAAAGATGTGAATGCAAAACCATTTTAAAAGTTAATTATTATTTTTTTTTTGACAAGACAGTTGCAAAAATCAGGTTTTTTAGTTTTTTTTTTTTTTTGTTTACCTGAAATAAGTAAACTATTACAAGGTTTTAGTTTGTTTTGTTTAGTTGAAATTAATTATTTTTTCTGAGAAATAAGACAGTTTGTTAGCTTTGATTTGTGGTTAAAAACAGAAAATAATTAATTTTTTTTTTTTTTTTTTTTTTACTAAAAAAATAAAGTTTAAAGCTTTTTTTAGGAGATTTACTGTTGCTTTACATTTTTATGTAATTATTTTAATATAGATTGTTTCTTTATTTTTATATATAATGTTTCTTTATTTTTATATATGTTGTTTCTTTATTTTTAACAGATTTACCTCAGCCTACACTAGAATATCCTGCTGTTTTATTTGCTAATTTTAATTATAATAACTGCTCTTCTAATGGCAGTTTCATGAGGTTAAGACCAAATGACTTCTTGAATTGGGGAAAAAATACTGGCGGAGAAGTGAGAACGCGCTCGTTTACATGGTCATCCATGTTAGTTTTGCCAGGTGCTGAGGTAACCTTTCAGGCATGTTGTCCAAGTGGTAATGAATTTGTTAAAACTGTTTATGATTGGATAGATTCTCCTAATATGAATTTATCAGTGTTTTATCATCCTGAACTGAGTGGAAATACTGGAATTTGGTACACAAGTAAAATTTCTATGATTTTCAACTTTAATAAGTAGTTTTCTTTTTTTAATATGAAACTGACCATAGGTTCTGATATGAGACTGACCATAGATTGCTGCTCCCCCCAAAAAAATTTTGTTTTCACAATTAAACCTTTAACATACTGGCCAACATATGTAGAGTTCCATGCATAATGAAATAAAACTTGTTTTAAAAAAGTTAATATAAAAAACAAATTTCTGTTCAAAATTTTATAATCTAATAATTTTATTTAAAAAAAAAGAACAGAAAGTGATTTTACAGATTTTAAAGTCACTGTGGACCAGAAGGCATATTAGGTTTGATGGTGTGTCACCTGGAATTTTTTTACTGATTAAGTTTTGTTTTCATTATACTAACATGATTTAATCATAGTTAGAATTAGTTTCACTTGCTAAGACAATAAAATTGTCAAATCAATTTTCAAATAAAATGTGCAAATGGGTAAGTAAAGTTAAACTTAGTTCCGAATTTTATGTAGAAGACCTCTATAATTTGCCGTATAATCATTTAAACTAAAATTTAAACTAGCTTAAAAATGTTACTGTTGCGTATTTAGTTTACTAGACTACAAAATTGACTTTTTCAATAAGCTGAAATATCAAATAGTGCTTCTCAGTTACTGAATCTTGTCTGATGTTATTCTTAGACTAATGTAATAAATGTAATAATATTTATTAAATTAAAGTGCCAAATATATTATGTCTGGAAGCAGTTTTTTACGTGATTCGGTTTGTGCAGTGTGTTGGGTTGAAAAAAGTGCCAGATATAATTCGCTATCTGAAGTCACCAACCGAATACAAGATATTATCAAACTCTACATATATGATGGTTATGATAAAAATATTATGAGTTTTCCTAATGTCATATGTGGTAGTTGTAAACGAAATTTATACCTTCTTAAGAGCAGTCATACTTCTAGGGGATCATGGGGACTTCAAGTTACTAAGGTATTTTTTAAACCAATACTAATTTTATTAATATGAGTAATATAACTTATATTATATATCAAAATATGTCTAAATATATATTATAAATAATAAATTGTTGTCTTTATTATATTATATAATTATTATTATATAATTTGTTATATTACATAACTAAAACAATTTATTACAAACAAATCTATTTGCATAAGTTATTGTTAAGTTGTAGTAGAATTTTGTTAATTTATAGTTTGAAATGCTTTAGATTGATTGGGCTAACAAAGACGATCTTCTGATCCATATTTGGGTGTCACTATTCCAGCATTTAGTGAACCAAAAGTAGCTGAAAACGTATGCATTATTTGTTTTCTTGTTATCGGACGAGGCATTTCTCATCAGTGTACATAAGTTGCTGCAATAGAAAACTTAATTGGTCACTGTTTACAATTAGGAGAATAGCCAGTGTTATAATTAAAAAAAAGATGGAGAGCGAATGTATAGCAAAAGGAGAATTTTTCAAACTAAAAACATGAGAAACACCTATCTCTATTAGAGTTGGAGCTCCCAATTTAAAGAGTAACAGAACCAGTAAACAACTTTCTCTTCAAACAGTCATGGAGCTGCAAGTCTCTCTTGAACTTTCTAATAATGCAACTAAAAAACTTTGTTCTACAATTAGAACTGGATTAAATAGAAGAGACTCTGTGGAAGGAAATATAGTTCAAAAACTAGATAATCTTAAAGATCAGCTAGATGAATTTTATAGCGTAGAGCAAATTGAATTTGTTTCTAACCAGAATGAAGTTATCATAAGAGACTTAGTATATATTAAAAGTCCCTCTGATTTAATCCTGCATATTATTAAAGAAAGAGGTATAAATCCATGTGTAGGTTTTGTACGAGTTTCGTTAGATGATGGAGGAGGCTTCCTTAAAGTTGTTGTGAATGTTTTTGAAGAACAAGAGTCTGAAAATAAATTTATGTATAGTGGCGTTCAAAAAGTTCTTATTATAGCGATTGTTGAAGATATTCCTGAAAAAAATGAAAACCTTAGATTAGTGCTTGAGAAACTTAATCTTGAAGATGCAAACTATTATATTGCTTTTGATCTTAAATGTGCCAATGTATTATTTGGTCTTTCATCGCACGCAGGTAAAAAAGCTTGTTTGTGGTGTAGTGGTGAATGTAGTCTTGATATAGGAACTCTTAGAACTATTGACAATCTTGATTCCTGTTATGAAGCATATATTAAAAATGGTTCTATCAGATCATCCATGAAGGAATTTGATAACATTGTAAACAAACGTCTAATATATCTTAACATTGATAAAAATACTTTGCTAGAAAATTTAGTTGCTCCACCTGAGCTGCATCTTCTCATTGGAGCAGTAGATAAAATAGCAGGGTTTCTTTTAACTGCGTGGGATGGTTTTGAGTTGTGGTTGAAAAAACACTATATAATTAAAAGAGGATATCATGGAGTTGGTTGGGATGGTAATAATGCTAATAAAATTTTAAAATTGATTGATTCACTTCAACTTGAAGTGCAACTTAAAGTTATCTACTTCCTTCCAAAGCACTTTGAAATCTGTAAAAGAAGCTTGTTTTGGAAGAAAATCTTGATCCTGACTCAGAACACAAAATATCTTTGTTTAAAGATGCTTTTTTATGCCTACAAGAGACAGCTTCTTCACTCGGAAAGACACTAACAGTGTCATGGAAAATCAATATTATATGCTGCCATGTTTTTCTTTTTGTAAAAAATGCAGGATGCGGCTTGTCAAAGTATGCAGAACAGTGTGGTGAGGCGATTCATGCAAAGTTTAAGCCTACGTGGCAAAGATATAAACGTAATATAGGTCATAAAGATTATGGAGATAGATTGAAAACTGCTGTTGTTGATTTTGGAATTAAAAGATTATAATATTATATAGTTACAGAAATTATGCTTTGTAAAAATTTTCAATTTTATTATATTGTAAAATAAAGCTGCCTTAGAAAAAGTTGTGGGATTGAAGCAAAGGGACAAATATAACCCACAATTTTAGACACCCCATGCCCACTTGTGTTAAATAGGTTTTCAAGAAAAACTTTTTTATTGACGTAAACTAAATCAAAATTAATCAAAAAATACTTTGGCATTCAAGAGTTAAGGGCATGTAAAATTAATAATCCCCTCATTTTTTCTGTTGGGGGAGGGGGTTCAGAGTTTTAAGATTTTTTCACTCTTAGCAAGTGAAACTAATTTTAAATATGATTAAATCATGTTAGTATAATGAAAACAAAACTTAATCAGTAAAAAAATCCCAGGTGACACACCATCAAACCTAATATGCCTTCTGGTCCACAGTGAAGTAGGCAAAAAATTTAAAAAATATACCATAAAATCGCCTAAGTACGGTCACTTTAGCTTTGAACATTTATTTATCACGCATAAATTAAAAAATTTCAATTTTTTTCCTGAAACTTATATTGATAATTGATATTGTATAAATAAAATAATTAAAAATGAAAACTAGTACTCAATATTTAATTTCAAATGAGAACATCTACTTTGATCGAACTTTCAATACCATCTCTTAAGTTTGGTCGCTATATAAATCCTAATAATGCATCACTTCACGAATAATAAAAAATAATTTTAAAATGTTGTTTTATTGTTTAATGATGATATAATATCAGGTATTACCAGTAACCAAGGAGGGCATCGTCTTGGACTTTAAAAAAAAGTTTTTTGGGTTGCCAAAGAAAATAACATGGAGCAGATAAAAAAGGCCTTTTTAATTATAAATAGTATTATTTTTTATTTTTATTATAATTAGTCAACTATTTTATTACTTTGGGTTTTAGCCCCCTTTTTTTGTTGTTCAAGTGCCCTAAGAAATCCTTATGGTCTTATCACAGAAAAGTCCATAAGGACTTCTTGGGGGCATCTATGTGCTACGTTCACTACGCTGCTGGTTAATAAAAATAAAAAGATATTTTTCAATAAAGTTAAAAAGAATTTTTTTTTTTATAAAAAAGAATAGTTTATTGGCAATTCTTGCACATATCATTCACCAAATTAGAACGGCAAGATCCATCCAAGATCCAATTGTCACAGGATTTGCAACGCATCCATAACTATTGTTGAGCTGCAGTTTTATCTCCAAAAAAAATGTCACATGCTTGACTTTTTTTTGAGTTCAAAGAACCGTCAGATTTACAGTGTTGATATATAGAAGTCGCTTTGGATTCTGACATAATTGGAGTTTCGATAACTCCTACTAGTTGTTGTTTCCGCTTTTAAATAGTAGGTTTGTTAAACAAACCAGCTTCCTTTGTCAAATGTTTTTAAGTCTTAATTGAATTACCTCCTGTTTTTTTTTTCAGGCAAAACTTTTCTAGCTTGTATTTCGTTCTTCTTATTTTGTGTCATTGTTTGCTTGTTTGTAAGTTCCATCAAAGCTTCTTTAAAAGTCATAATGTAACTTTTCATGAGGCGCATGTTATTATTAGAAATATTTAGCTTTGACTCTGATACGGAAGCTTTATACAGGCCAACATGTAAAACATTTAAAGTTGATTTCTTTAAATGCTCACAAGCAGTTGTGCTGCATGTTAATGGAGGTATTTGTTTTAATGAGCTCAAAGAAGTTTGTGTACTTAAACTTCTATGTTTTTGTATATTTTAAGGAATTTCTGGAATTGTGGTGACTGGTTGTATAGACAGTGTATAGACAGTGTTGGTAAGGCTTAAGTACTTTGCACAAAAATCGATCCAATAGCTAACTTTTCATTAGTAATTTTTTCCTGACACAAAGCAAAAATGCCTGTTTCTTTGAAGCCCGAACGCACATTGTTGCTCAAGAAGCTTTGGTCAATAAGCTGTTTGAGCAACCCAGGATATCTAGGTTTTGTGAGATCTTTAAAACTGTTTTGAATGAAATGTTTGTTTAGGATTCCGCATCATTTATTTTTCATCGTCCTAAATACGCCTACATCAAGTGGCTGTAGCATGTAAGATGTATAAGCCAGTAGCTTAAAAATAATAATGTTCTCCTCTTTTGCTAATTG